AGGATGGCCACATTACAAGCTAATATCTCCAAAACTATAAGATAAACAAAAATTTTTTTTCTGTATTACATGTGTCTAAAGAACTTCTTAAATTATGGTAAAACTGGCCTTTCTGTCTTCAGATGATGGCGAGTAAGATTATTTGGAATTTGAAATAGAATCAGGATGCAAAAGTTGCATGATTCTATTTAACTCACAAAATGCAATTTTTATTGGAAATGTTTCTTTTAAGATCAATCTATCAAACTGAAAATTTTTATGCTTCCATTACTGAAACTTATTTCAGCTTCAAAGACACTAATCATACTAATAGTACAGAAATTATAATTATTCAAAAGAAGTTGGGATTGAAACAATATCAATTTACTTTATTTGTACATAAACATTGTTGCTTTCATAAAGTACTCATGATTCTCTAACAAATCATTTATATTTACAATCAAATCAAAAATGAAGCATTGTTTGATTTTAAATGTCATGAGATTTTATTTTTATTGTAAAATTATATATACTGCCTTGTAATTAGCCATTCTATGTATAACTATAAATTATGAACTGTTTATAAGAAAGACTGAAAAAGAGAAAGTATCTTATTTAAAATACATATTTTAAATGCATTTTTGAAAAACAGAGCTTTTAATATAGAAAATATTTTCTATTAAAGAAAAAAAACTAGTCTTTGTTATCAAATTAAGTGAAGTATGAAAACTTGTGTGTTAGTTCAAGTGGTTTTTTTGGTTTAAGTCAATTTGTCATTTTTCAAATTAATTTCTCTTAACATATTAATTCATATCTCATTACACACCTGAGAATCATTGTTCAAAGGTTCTCAGGTATGTGATATACAGAAACACCAATCTACAAAAAGTTTATATAAAGATGAGATAATTCATATCTCATCTTTATACATTATAATAATTCAATATGCTTCAAATAACACCATTTAGCACTGTTGCAATGCAAAAATGCAATTCATTAGCATATCGAAGAACTATAAAAATTTACATATTTGTTATAAAGTTTTGTTTTTTTTACATTTTTAGATAAATGTAACTTTTTATTATATAACATAATAAATCTATAAATTCTGAGTTTTTATACATAAATTTATAAAATTATTGAATTTTAATTCTCTACTTCCTTGAGACACGATCTATTAACATATAAGATTTTTTTTACAAATATAAAAATGTAAGATCATCACTACATTTCTTAGAAAGCTAGTAGATCTTTTTTTCAAGAAATTTACAAAGTAATTGAATTTTACATTCTACACACAAGTAAGGAGCTGGAGATCTTTTCCCACGTCTGGAGAAAATTTAGGGGCTGGCAACCATTCCAGATACTGCAAAATTAACATAATTTTTATTAACAGAATATAAAATCTTTAAGACTGCCTTTTTACTCTGACAAGGTCCCAACCACCTCATACAGAGCTGCAATTGCACCATAACTCATAGTTTATCAATTTATCATCAATCAATATATATTATAAAGGTAAGTGTACAATGTGCATGCCATTAAATCTTAAAAACGAGTCCCGGTACGATCAAGAGAGTTATATGGTAAGGTAGCCCTCTATCCCCCATCCATGAAGAAGGTTCCCGTTTTTACCTGAAGGTTGTGCCGTTGAAGATATAAGGGCTGCAAGTTTTGCCCTCTAGAAATTTCTAGAGGGCAAAACTAGAACAGTCCAGAACATTCGAGAGCATTCCACAACATTCCAAAATGTTTCGGGATGTTCTGGAACATTCAGGAACATCCCGGAACATCCCAGATCATTGTGGAACATTCTAGAACACTCTCGAATGTTGTAAAATGTTCTGGAACATTGTAGACCACTCAAAGCTTTTTTTGTATGGGTGGGACTACCCATTGGTGGGGGTATATAAAGCAAGATCTGTCGTGGGTTCAAACGTCAGTTTCTTATCAGTGACAAAGGGAAGAATCAAAAAAAAAGTGAAAATTCCAAAATAGTGCGGTGCGTGAATAATAACAAACAGTGAAGTGCGAGTAGTCAAAGTGATACAGTGACTGAATATAAATCAAAAATAAAGTGCGAAAACTGTGTAAAGTGTACTTAGTGTATTTGTTAATAAAAAGTTGATTTGATTTATATTTTATGCAATGTCCAAACTTAAAAGTGGAGGAGCTCTTGCCAGTTCTGAATTTTCTTTTGAATATTACTGGGAATTTTCTTTTGAATATTAAAGTTGATATTGTCGACAATATTATTTTTAGTTGCCAAAATTGCCCTTTGAAATAGCCACTCTGAATAATAATAAGCACAGAGCCCAAACAGTTAGGAGTTGAAGGTTGAAATTTGGTACGCAGTTAGGGTTTTTGATTACGTTTTAATAGGGTATGTCATGAGAATGTACACAAGAAGGAATTTTTCAAAATTTTCCCCATGGGGAGAGGTTGTTAACACTTCCCCGTGGAAGAAGTGTTAACAATGGAAGTGTTAAGAGAAAACGACGTGCAAGATTTACAGGTGTAGATGTGGATTTTAGCATTTTTGTGAGAAATTGAACATATTTTTAGACGCATCTATAAATTTTCTAATTAGTCTGGAAACAGGGCAACCTAATTCTTCCATTCTGAGAAAACGGGTAAGATTGGCTATAATGTAATAATCCTAATCTTCACTATCCTTACTTTTTGCCCGAGCAATGCCGGTTTATCTGCTAGTGTTTTATAATATGTAAGAGATATTTTTTTGTAAAACAAAAGCTCAAAAAGTAACTTCGTGTCAAATATGTAAAGTTGCTAGAAATTTTTAAGGCAGATTATTGAATGTAATGCTAAATATGACACTTAAAACCATTCATGAATACTTTTTACGTCAATTACTTATTGTATTTAATTACGTTTTTAATATTTTTCAGGTAGACTTACAGCTTTTAGAAACCAATCTTCAGAAATGGGATTGTCAATCATCTGTTCGACTATCTCCAGTGCTTTTCTCTTACATTCTTCTTGTTTCTGTTTTGCCACTTCAACTTTTTCTCTACATTAAAACAAAAATGTTTTTTTTAAACAAAATCAATATATTTTTAAACATAATAATATTTATAATAAGAAGAATGAATAAAATCGTACTCTTTAATNACATGGAACACATGTGGAACTGGAAAATAGAGATTCTGAAAATGAAAAACCCAAAAAATTATTCTACAGATTTCCTTAGTAAAAGTTTGGTAAGATAATCAAAACTGTTGATCAAATCGTAGTGAATAATCCAGTTTTTGAAAGGAGTGCAAGAGCAAAATGAGGCATTTTGGATGCGATCTTCTGCTACTGACATTTGCTTAAGAAAAGAAAAAAGTGACAATTGAAACTTTACAACTTTATCGCAAAAGAACAAGAATTTCAGGACCTTCATTACAAAAAATTAACTGTACATTTCTGTATGCACATGTATTATTTAACATATATTATTATACAAATTAATATAAAAATAACTTAAAATTAAAGTAAAATTTGTTTATTTTTGGTCACATGTTTCCTATCTGTATTTACTCTATGTTAAAACAAACTCATTTAACGCTATTTTGCTTAATGCTTTGTTGTCTAGGAATGCAATCCCCACGTTAAGTGGAGTCTTACTGTATATATATTTAACAGTTTTGTATTTTAATTAACTGTTTTCAATAGCAATATGCTCCGCCTTATTGTTTGTTTTTCACTGTTAATATGGCCAACATTAGTGATACAAGTGAAGGATTTAGTTGGAAATCAATTACATGAATTTAATTAATTGTTCAGGTGAATAAATATTTTTATCTGTTAGCGTAAAACTTCTTTGATGTTTACTTATTTTCACTAAGTTTTTGACCTGTCATGTTACAAAAATAAGAAACCATTGAAGGATGTATTTTGTCCAGCAAAGAGTAAAGGCAACCAAAATCTCTTCTAGCCATGCACTAGTTAGAGTAAATGGACTATAGTCTGGATACAACGTTTAAGAAGTTGATATCACAGGATATACAACTCTGTGCAGCTTTTGCAGCAATTTGAATCACCTATAAACCATTCTGTGCACAAATTATCAGCTGAAGTGTAAGGACTTGGAGAAGTTGGTGAAGTATATTTCTCAAATAAATCATAACTTTTTAATAAATTTCCATATTTGGAAAAAAGTTTTTTCTAGATGTCACATGTCTACAACTGAGTTGCCCAACTGTTGTCTATAACCCATTGCTACACTATCAGCTTAAGTCTCTGAACTGAGGATAAATGTTAACTTTGAGAGGGCAAAAGCTGTTCATACCATACATAAAATGCACCACATTAGATCTCTGTAGTTCCTCAAATGTTAAGGCTATTGTAAAGCCTTAAAACTTTTAATGCATCAATCACAAAGATGCAGACTCATTATTGTATATGCAGTTATATATACTTTTATGATACCACTTAGTGAGGGATGTCAGGAGGAATTTAAGAGAAGGTGTAGTAAGCTTTGTATACATATCACTTGGATAGATCTGATGTGATTGTTTATGTAAAATTTGTTTTTATTTATCTATAAAAGGTAAATAAAAATTTATATTTTGTTTGTTTGTTGTTTGTTTTTATTTATATTTTTCTCATTTTTATCTTTTCTGTTAATAGTTCATTCCCCATATGAAACATCAATTTAAATGTTTAAATCTAAATTTTAAATCTGTAGCTCTATCAGAATATACTGGTTTAGAATGTTTTAAATAAAAAATTTTAAATTCGTGAATTGTTTTGAAATTTATTGGTTTCAAATATTCATTTTATGAAACATTCCAATCTTTGTTTTTGAGAACTGAAGAAGGCCTATTAATGAGGCCAAAAATGTTTCTCTCAGTAAAATACTACTGGAAAGTGGAAAGGTGTCAGTTTGTTACACACTTACTCACATAGACATTGCATCAAACATACATTTTTGTCTACTGAATATTTGTGTTCTTTTAACCTGCAATCTAAAACATAAATAGTAGAACTATACCCGAGTATCTCACAATTTTGTTAAACACAATTCTGAGTAAATTTTTCATCCAATGGAGAATTATTGTTTAAAACACAATGACAAAATCTGCTCAAAAGGGATCACCATTTATTTTTTCTGTGTTCCAAGAATACACACTTTTTTGGCAACTGGTTTTTCTTTGTAGGCTACTTGTCGCCGGAAGTTACAAAAAGTCCTTTTAAAAACACAAAACATATCCAATTAAAATTATAAATAATTTCTAAAAAAGGAAGTGTGTAGTCTTGGAACACAGAAAAAATAAATGGTGATCCCTTTTGGGCAGATTTTGTCTTCATGTTTTAAACAATTCTGAGTGTGATATTATAATCAATGATTGTACATGGAAATGATAGAAACTTACAAGGCCAGCATAAATAACACAGCTATCAACTATAAGAACAACATGCTATCCCCAACATGAAGATTGGATATTTATTGGACATTATTGGATATTTAATATTACATTCTACATCCCAATGCAACCATACGATCACCGACTGCTGATCAGACATTATTTGTTTTATATTTTAAATTATAACATTCAATCTCTTGTTCTAATCTGATATCTGTTTATGAATACATGTTTTTAATAAAATTTCCAGGACTATAACTGTAAAATTAATATATAATTTAAGACTTTCCCGTGATGGCACAATAACGAGTCTTTTGTGCCATCACAGGAAGGAAGTCCTGAAATGTTCTTCATAGTAAGGCAGATGAGCAGCCTCTAATAAAAAGTCGACTCCCTCATAAGACTGTTATTTTCCTGAGGTGAGAAAGAACATCAAAAGACTCGTTATTGTATAGTTTTAAACTGTATATTAATTTTACATTTTTTAACTTGATGATGATTGCAAAAAGCAATTGAAAATGTTCATTTTGCTCCATCATTTTGTGTTATAAGCTAGGTTTTTGGTTTTATAAGTGAAATCAATGATTGTAGTGGGTTCACTCCCAGTTAAGTTGCTCACATCTGTCCAATCTGAAATCTAAGCATGTACTTATGCATGAAGCCCTTAAATAGCCTTCTCCAGAATCTATGTATCTCTGCTATCTCCTTGATATAGCTAAACTCCTTAAGATAACTAACATGTTTGTGCAGTGAGTAAAATGAGTAAAAGCCTGTTTGACTAACAATCAAAATGCCACCAGCTTGTAGGCATAAGAGTCAGTAGAATAGGACAAATAAATGAGACATGAATCCAGTACAGCAGATGTGGCCTCTTCTGATAGTGGTCATGCTGCATAGTGCCAACATTGCCACTTGGCAATATTTTTATTAAAGTAGCAATAAAAACATTACTCCACTTGTTTCAACATTCAGTGTGCAATTGAATCACAAAATCACACATCATAAACAGAATATTAAGCTCCTGCACATCACATAGCTAGTGATTTCATGACATCATACAGAAAGTTTGAGCAGGAAAGTAGGAAGTGATGTTGAAAACCGAAAGCAATTTTCATGCTAATGTGCCCAGTGTCCATCCATAAGATTACCACCATGTTTTTGCGAGCTAAGAGACTTTCTTTTTGCTAATTGTGATCAAATTTGTTATTGAGAATTAGTCATTAAAAAAATTATTCAAAAGTGATTCCTATTTCTAACAAGTAACAACTTTTGAAAAGTAAGTTATTTTTGCTTTCCAGACTCCAAACTGATAAGGCTAGCAGCATCTGCATTGATTAGTGAGAAAAAACTGATGGCAACAAATAATTTGAAGTGGCAAAAAAATAAATAAATAAATAAAACTGGCAAAACAGTTTATAATTTTTAAAATTTTTCAGAGACTTCTGGAGAATAATATTAAAATATAAACAGTACCCATTAGTATCACTTTCCTGATCAAGCTTTAAAGTGAAGCTGTATGCAGTACTATTGACACAAACTAAAAAATCAACTATATTAGGTTTAATCCTCCAAATAATCAAGATATCATCTACATACATAACACAGATTATAATACATAGGAAAATATCTGGTAAAACTATAGTCTTGGGGAATGTATAACTAGTTTGCAGAGGTCTCCTGAAGGTGGCTACCCATCAGGTCATCTAGGTTCTGCAAAAAGGTCTGTTTAATGTATTTAAAGAATGAGAAGTAACATGTGTAAGTTCTAAAACCTGTTGCTGTTGATGGGGTGCCACTCCTACTTGTTCAAACAAGAACTCACACAAACCACAGAAGCATTGTTCTATACAGATAGAAGGGCACAAATAGACAAAATGAAAAACAGTGAAGAACTTCTCCATTAAGGCCAGATCTTTCAATCTCACAGCTAAGGTAGCTAGGTCCATTATGATAAACTAATAACCTCTTAAGTATACAGATCATGGATAACTTTTTCCAAAGAACATGTTGATTATATGCCTGGTTTATGAATATTTGTAAAAACAAAGAGTCTAGGGGTTTCAGAGATTTCACAACCACTTTATAACACTAATCTTGCTGAGGTGTTGTAATCTAAGAGGTTTAAAGATGAAATAAGTTCAGCATAAGGTTCATTAATTCATTCTTCATAAAGGTTAACTGAGTTAAAATTAGAATATTCATCAAGAATAACTGCATTTGAAATATCCTGTATGTTACTTATGTTAAAATCATTAGTTAAACAGGTGTCTGGATCTATTTAATTAATGAAGAATTACAGTGGGTGATTGGTCAACAAACAATCTGTTCCAAGACCATGTTCACTACCCAAATTGTTTAACCGATTATCGATTTACCATAGATTTTTATTGGAATTTGATTAATTCGTTCTGGAGACCCCAAAAAATAAATAAAAAATTATATACTTTCTTACTATGTTTATTTACACAGTAAACTAAAAACTAAGAACAATCTCTCTATTTTTTCATGAATGGCACATCTTTGTTTCTCAGATGCAATTTTCGTTATTCCTTTACCTGCTTGAGTCTTTTTGATTATATCTTTCTTAGCTAAGATTGTATTTTCTGTAGACCTATTGAAGTCATCTGCCTACAATATCAGACTTCTTCTGCCCACTGTC